GTCGGAAGTCTGTTTCGTAGGTGTCCACTGGAGCGGCCATCGCGGTTAAAAAAAAAAAAAAAAAAAAAAAAAAGAAAGAAAAAAAACGTGCACGAGGACACTCGACGACCCGTCGTATCGGGTGACGCCATATATTTGGATCAACTACACTTAAACCGTGGCTAACGAAGCCGTTGTCCCGTGTCTCCTCCGTGTGGAGGGGAAAAAAATTGTAACCAGGAAGCCCAGGAAAGAAAGACGGAGAAAATAGACTGTTCTGAGTCGCGACGGCGATCAGAGCATCTGCCTACGAACGAAAATATCCGAACAAATTGAGCTTAGAACACCCGGTTGTTGATGGTGCACGAATAGGTCGGTTGGTTTGGAAAATTGGGACAAAGCGTTTAGAGCGTTTCCACCAGTTTTTAGAATGATGGACGATGGACTTGTCAGTCGACCATTATCGATTAATTGTATGGACGATTATGATAATTTCTTGAACTTTGAAGGAAAGCTTGAAGGAAGAAAAATAAGCCTTGTAACAATAAAGTAACAATAAGTTGCTCCATTGCGATTTGGTAGAGTTATTATTATTATTATGTGAAAGATGCATAAAAGTTTGTGAACATTTGTTTAAATTATTATTATCTTGTGTGTTGATAGGGTAATTATTGGGGTGATTCGAAGATTCATTTCTCTATTTATTGGTACGCTATATTTAACTTTGCAATCAATAATTATACCACGTAGGATCTGCTTGTTCGATCACCAAAGTCAAGCTATGTCGAGCACAGTCAGTATTACTTGGATGGATGACTGCTTGGGAACACCGTGTGTTGGTATTTATTTTTTAATTCATTCAAATATTATTAATAAAATTATTATTAAAAATTACAGAAAATAAATGAAACAGATATTACTTCATAAAGTAATTTATTTTCTGTAATTTAAATACAAAAAGTGCAATCTATCGTAAAGAAAGTCTTAAAGAAAATCGAGTACTCGATCAACGATCTTCAAATCAATTTCTCGTTGTTTAAATAAGATTATTTTAAGAGGAGGGTTTTTAAGAAGATCAATTCGTTCAACCACGAATTATCGCTCAAATTCGCTCGAATTACGACAAAAGTTAAACTAAGACGTTTGCATATGCGATTTCGCCAACACACAGAGGTAGAAATACGCGAATCACGTTTCTCTGAACTGGTTGAAAGCGTTGCAAATGAGAACCATAGGTAAACAGAGATGATTCTGTTGAAATGCATACTAAAAGCATTAAAACGTGCAATTTGTGAAATTTTACTTTGTATTCTGGTATTATACGCATATATTATACATTTTTAACGTATGAATATTCTGAAAATTGCGCGATTTAATCCAAACATTGGATGGATTATGAAATTTAAATATTTGAATGATGTATTAAAAAATTAAAGCTTAGCTTTTTGGAATGAGAAAAAATCTTAACTTTCAATAATTAACAAATTGAATATTATAAGATTAGACGATTCAATTATACAATCATAAATTTAAATAATATTTTTTTTTTAATCAATGTGTTGAAAATATATTTTTCAATTTCATTTTCACGAGACTAGAGACGAGTTCATATATTTTTACGAATTGAGGAAAAATCGAATTTCCCGTTATAATGGCCTTTGTAACACGATTACCGGGACAATTGGCCAACAAACGAAAGGATTTGAATCCCGATTCAGCAATTCTATCCGCTAATTCTTTTTCCGCCTACGATTTTCAAAAATAGAATTTATCACCCTTCTAGCATTTCATTCTTCTATTATTTTGATTATTTAAAATTTATTTAAATAAATTTAACATATCATTTGCAATAAAGTTCAAAGCAAAGATTCGAAAAAGGAAAAAAAAAAAAAATTGAATTTAAAACTTCCCTCTTAGTTGAATTCCTTTTCAACTTTGATCTTTTATTACCCATAAAATACCAATATCTTTTTATCTATAAATAATTTAAAAATACCAAACATAGTCAAGAAATATAAATTCTTCCATAAACATTTTTCAAAGCGACCCCACCTCGAAAAAAAAGAATCTAAGAACAAAAGCGCGAATGGCATGTTGTCGAGTCAGATATTCTACGGCCTGTTTAACATAACGCTGTTCAATTTAAAGGCGGGTCAGTTTCTCCTTGATACACTTCCAATTTTTCCCCTTCTTCTTCTTCTTCTTCTTCTTCTTCTTCTTCTTCTTTTTTCTTTTTCCTCTCAAAATTCATGTCAATGTACGCGCATGGACGAATTTAATTTTTCAAAGTCAAAGCCAGTCGAGAAAAATGAACGAGGATCGATCGTATCGCGAGAATTCGAATAAAGTTGGTTTACGAAACCATATTCCGACAACGAGACGGATTATCATAGATAAGATAATATAAACCGACTAAATACGTCGTCGTCTATAACTTGGCCAATGTTAGCTGTTTCGAATATATCCTCTCCTCCTTTATTGCCTCGGGTAATAAGGAAATTCATGGAAGATTAATAATCCGGAAATCGCGGTTTTGTGTTGCGCTGCGGAGCAAATTTTTTAATATTTTCTCATTGCGCCATGAAGGGTAGGTAGCCACAGGTTTTATTACCGAGCAGACTGTTATTAATCGTTTACCAAGTCTCTGAAAGATTACTTATCATAAAATATTATACATATTTTTTTTAATCCGCGTTTCTTTTGAATATAATATATAATTTAATAGTTTTGGGAATTGATAAATATATTCTCATATTGCTGATATTTTTTTTTTTTTGTCTTGATAGATTTATAATAAGTTAAAAAGTAAGTTAAAAATTTCAATATATCACTTCGTGTGCAATGATTAATCGGAACAAGCTTACTCTTATCACTCGATTTTGCGTTCTCCTAAGTATTTCTGATAGGTTCGTTGTAACTGTACACAGCGTGGTTAACCACACTGTTGATTCGCTCTTTGTGTGGACGTACACAGAGTTCGATCATGAATGTAATATTCGTGCGAGCAATTAATAGAAGGGGTTAAATCAATAAATCCCTTTCTATCACCATTTCCTATCAAAGTCTAAGATTGTTTATTCTGTAATTAAAATTCTTTCCACATTCTTTACAACAACTTGTTTAAAAAACATCCATAAATTGGAGAACTTTGTTTAATTTTTATGCTCAATTTTTCATTTATTAATTCCACATTTCATTATATTTCAGTTTAAAAAAAAAATGACAAATGTTAAATATGTATTGTGAAATTTTTAAAATAATTTTTGAAATAATTTCAAATGTGATTTTTAGTTATCAGGTTACCATTATCTCGCCATTTTTTCCGATTATTGTTAATTTCACTTAACCAAGATATAATCCCCATCCCCTTTTGCTTCTTTGAAATAAGGATCTTCTTTCGAGAATGGAGGTGGGAAACTTGATCTTATCCGTGTCGCTTCTCATTAGACGATGCGTAACAGATACGCGTAAAAATGCATCTGGCACGAAAGACATAGATGAAAACCATGTCTGGACTTTCCATTTATAAGAATGAGAATAGATTTTTGCATTTTAAAAGTTATCTTAAAAAGTTCTCTTTTGAAAGTTGATATTTTGAAGGAAATGGCGAATATTATTATGTCAAGTGAATATAGTAAAGATTGTAGAAGAAATAATTGGAATGTCGTGGAATATATATCGTAAAATTATTATAAAATTTATAGAAATTATATTATATTTTTTATAATTATTTAGAGAAGGGGGTGAATTTATGTTTTAATTACACGGAAATAGGTTTATGAATATGTAATAATTTTGAAATTAATTGTTTACGTTTCTGCAATGCTATACTTATTCCTAATTCTCTCTATACATACATTGCTGCAATTTCGATTTATATACCGGAATATGAAAGCGTATTTAGATGAAGTTGAACATTATATACATTTAACAAGAGTTTATTAAAATTTTTATGAAAATAGAGATTCCTGGGAGAATTTGAAATTTGAAATTACATCTCCTCTATGAATGCAGTTGTTATTTCAATTTCCTGATATATCTCATCTTCTATAATTTTCTAATAATTTTCCCCCTTTATGAAAATTTAATCCAATTAATTAAGGAAGCAAGTTGTTGATCAATGAAAATTCACATAAATTGGTAGAAAAGTTTTCTGGTAAAATGAGAGAGAAATAGAGAGATAGAGAGCAAAGTCTTTTATTTATTAAAAATTCATTTTTTCTTATTCATTTATTTATTTATGAATAAAATATATTAGAATCTGTGAATAAGAATTTGCATATTTTTCATGATATTTTCATCTCATCTCTCTTATTAAAAAAAAAGGAAAGAAGATTAAAAAAAATATTGCTCGAAATTATACAGGAGGCACCAGAGGCAAAACAAAATCCATAAGTCACGGCTGGCTGTTACGTGGAAGCTGAAAGACGCTCGTTAAAAATGCGTCGACTTTCTCAGATTATTTGACAGCCGCCATTGACAAAAAAATGCCTCTTACGCGTTGAAGCATAATAATAATAATAATAATAACAATAACAACAATAATAATTATAATAAATTACCAAGTGAAAAGAATTTCTTTTTAAGACATGGTCGAATGTCTACTATTGTTCTCAACCTCTTACCCTAAAACCTACTTTTATACAAAGTATATTTACATAGTAGTTAAAAACCTAGATACACATAATTTTATATTCTTTAGAATTTCTGCTGCTTAATTATCTCCCTAGACTTTTTATTTAAAAAGTGTATCTATTTTTTAAAAGAAACATCTAATGACGTACACGAGCTTCTTGTATTTCACAAGAAAGTGCTTTCCAAGAAGCATTCTTTTTTTTAGCATTTTCCAAAAATTTTAAACCCAAAAGCAAAACCAATCTTTCACGAAAGAAGAATTATCATAAAATTAAAATCATAAATATATATTATGCAATAGGAGAAAATTTGCTAAATAAAATTTCTCTATATTTATACATATACCATGTGAAACCAGTGACTAATACACCGATTATGAATTGCAGGGGCGAAAACATTTCATGGATAGGAAAATTTGGATCGTTGCCAGTCCCGATTCCACTCTTCTTATCCTGTACACCGCGACATTACTTTCAACATCTTGCCGTATTCGAGTTCTTTACCGTCTTTCCACTTGAAAGTGGAAAGTGTCCGGAAGGCCAAGCTTCCAGCTTTCATTAGTTACGTCTTCGAACAACCGACTCCCACGAGCACTTATCGAACTGGAACGATCGTGACTCCATGAACTGGAATTACATGAACTTATTACACTGCGCCACTTTCAAGCCGCGGACACGGATGGTCGTTAGAATCGGTCCGATCTATTGGAACTTGCCTGTAATCTACCAGTTTGGTCCGTTTAACGGGCTCATTACAAGTTGACGGTGGATTGGCGGGGGTGGCACGATGTATGATCATGAAGACAACTTTAAGGAAAGTTTATCATTCGTCACAGGGAAGGAGATTATGGAGGAGAGACTCGGTTTCTGGTCGAACGATTGAAGAGGAAATTTGTAACGATTTAACCAAAATTAAGTTTGAGGATTATGATGGATGGGGATTGTGTTCGAAATTCGATATCACGTGTGGATTTTAATTTGTAATGGCGTAAGTAATAAGAACAGAATAATTAATTCATATTCGCGTAAAAATTGTAATTTTAATATTTCTGATTTAATTTACAAAAATGTTTTTTTTTATTTTCAAGTATTGAAATCGTGGTCGATATTTCAAAGTAAATCGTTTGTGTGAAGTAAGATATTCTATAAAAGGTTATTCATTTTTCAGATTGATAAATGATGACTTACAAAATGATTGATCGTAGATCTATATTCAATGAAGTTGGGACAAAATTGTGACAAAATTTATTGTGATTCGTTTCTTCGTTTTCTTTTATTCTATTCCCACTTTTATTTATTTATTTAATTTTTTTTTTTTTTTTTTTTTTAGGTTGTTATGCAAACGCTATCTATCAATTTTTAGTGTCCATCAATTTTGAAGTTCAGGTATACAAATATCAATATTTCATGCGAGTATCAAATATATATATATATATATATAAATCATCAACAATTGAAGTGATAGCATTCCAGCACATCTGGTATCTTTGGCACGACAATACATTTGCTTATCATAGTGCAGTTGAACGTGCAGTTCTGGCTAAAAGCAAATATCTAGTTTTTATCCATTCGATGTATTCAATTGATTTTGCTCCCTATGATTAATCGCCATTCCCAAGATTTAGTATTCTACGGAAAGGCACACCACCAAGATGTGCAAGCAACCGCGATGAGAATAATCTTGACTAAAAACAAGTTAGTATTCGACTCTAATATTCTAAACGTTAAAGAAATATATTAAGAGAAAGAAATATATTAAAAGAAATATATTTTGATTGAAATTAATATAATTTAATATAAATACATTCAGTATTTGTATTAACAACGCATTTAACTTCATTTCTTTTTTCAACAAATAAACTATTGAAGAATTTTTGAAAATTACGAAAAATGTTACGATTTTATTTGTATTTCGATAAAAGTTTTTACGCGCGATCTTTTTGAAAAAAAAAAATATTAATTGTACAAAATAATATATCAAACGATTATTCATTTCTATAAATCAGAGTGAATTATTTTTTAAATCAATTCGACGAAATTTATAGCTCGTTCATTCAAGAATCCACGAATCGAATAATTTGGCGTTAAGAGATATTGTCCAATAAATGGTAGAATAAATGTGAGTACAATTCGAACCGATTTTCCATTTCAAATTTTACATTATAGAAAAATTTTGTGTATTAATTATAATATGGTATACATCAAATTTCTTCAAAATGTTTTCGTAAACGCAGAGAAGAGAAAATCAATAACACCCGCATGTAATAAAGAGAATATCTATTAAAGATAGCTAATTATCTGTAAGTAATTTATTGGTAAACCGTGGGAGTATTCTCTGTTCTTATTTTTCTAAAAGAAGATTGTCCATTATTAGTGATTGGATTATCAATACCCGCATCTAATCAATTAATTGATGGAGGATGTTTAATGAGAAAGCTTCGAATATGGAGTTGTACCATTGCTATTCAAGAGCAATAACTATGAAATATTAAAATACTTTTATTAATATTTCTACCTTATATTAATTTACAAGAATAATAATTAATTTGCATGAACTTTTATAATTTCTGCAAGTAATCGTAATTATCTTACACTCTGTAAATTTATTTAAAATCCTCACCTCGCGTTTTTAATTATCTAAATTAATATTGAGACCATATTCGATTTCATCGCGATATTTTTTTTTTTTTATCCAGCAATACCTGTTCCAAATATATCAAAGAATCCAGGTTGCTACAAGTAATTATTTGCTATCTCTTGTTCGAGCACAACATGTCCAATTCAAATACATAGGTCTGTTTTTCCCATGATTCCAACGTGGTATCGAGGTAAAATATTATTGGCATGTTTGCTTTTCAAACACATGCATCCGTTAACCAACAAAGTGTGTTTGCCTTGTAATTTTGCCTGTTCGTAGAAGCATTCGCCGTTTTTTCTTTCAAATTGCACATTTCGTACACGTATGCACTTTTTAATACAAGCTAAACGAAAGAAATAGGAAGGATGATGGCATTTTATCCGGGAGATGATTACGGATGATTAGAACTGAATTTAATTAATGAAACTTCGTGCTTCAACGTGATTCTAGCAAATTATTTAATCAATTTTCGCACGAGGTAACGAAAAATTAAGTTGATTAAAATCTTCTGGTTTATTAAACGAAATATGCATCGAGATAAAATCGATTGAAATATATCAACCAACAGGCGTTGACTCGTGTCACGAATTTAACACGAATCTCTGCTTTAATCCTCGGACAGATATAATAATAAAGAGAAATTAGAATTTCGGAACGAAACGACGTGTAACGAAATATAAATATTTTCTTTTCGAAGTTGAAACGAAAGATTATCCATTATTTTTATTTTCTTCACGAGGTGAGCATACAAATCGTATTTCAAATTATCATCCGTATCAACGATTTGACGGTGAAGGAATCGATAAATCCATAAATATTTTTATCGTGTTCCAAGAATTATGTGCCTATAACTTACAGTACGCTCTGACTGTGTTTATTCTAGAATTAATCTCTTATACAATAACACATTCGTCTACCTCAGGATACAAGGTATCATTCTGTCCAGAGACGTAGTTTTAAGAGGAAGTCTCGAGAAACAAGAACACAATTTTAGAGAATATATTAATTATGATCATTGATTGATCACAAAATGGACACTCCTCGGTATTTGTATAATATTGACAAGCAAATATATTTAACTAACGCAATAGAAAATCATTTGAAGTAAATCTGACAAGTTATACGATTTGTCTATCCTGTGTGATTATTGACAAATGCTTTTAACAAAGTAAGTAATATATGTAATATAGTAAGTATATATGTTAAAATAATAATCTTTATTAATTTTAAATCATAGTCTATGAATTTAACATGGATTGTTCTTTTCAGTAACAATAAACTTTATTATAATATTCTGTGTCACGTTGAACAAATTCAGAATTTTGTTGATGAGAATGATGAAATATCCAATAAAGTAATCACGGATTTAAATATAGATAAGATAACAGATATCAAATTCTTCGAAAAAAATTTCATTTCTTTTATAATTCTTCTATAACGAACGATCATATTTGAGAAGCTATAATCCTAACACGAAACGCAACATCGACTATTTTTTTTTTATTTCTCCTCAGCTACTCGTATGCATTTTTCATTTATATCATCAGTCATTGCGACCCGCCCACTTTCTTTCGACGAAAAAATCAGGTGGAAAGTCGTGGTAAAGGGTTCCACTTAATCTCGGAAGTTTTGTGCTCAATCGGTGGAAAGATATCGAGCCACCGCCTTAACTATCGAATGAAAAATGTACGGGAATTTATTGAAGTAAGATATATCGAGTAGATCGACTTTTATTCCATTTTAAATTCTCGCGTTTGTGACATTATTAAACGTAATGTTCTCTAACGTTAAAAGAAGCCATTAAATTTCACGTAGCAGATTTAAGATCTGCATAATTATTACCCAAAAAAGAAAACGTGAAGAATTCATTGTAGTAATTCAAGTCCACGCGAATAATTAAAATTATTACGTATATGGAAAGGATAAAAATTATTTAATTAAACATCAGGAGAGATCACAATTTTAAACGAGTGGATTTAATTTTAAAACTCAATGTACCGTGAATTAATTTTTCATCCTATCGGTCATCTTTTTGTTGGATCGTGCAATTCAACGAAACTGTTAATGGCAAAGTATATAATAATCACAATTAACAATTCGACCCGATGCTCTTATATTCTCCACGAATATATATATTTCATTTCTTGCCACAAATCTTCCTTCGTTCATTCCCGTTAAAGATAAATCCAAGATTGTACGCTCGAATTCTAAATTTTATCCAACGGAATTAATTTATAATTGACACGGTAATGAAGAGTGCGGAATAATGAGCAGAAAGCCCGTGCACCTATTTGACATAAGCTGCTTACGAACGTCCTCTCCATAATGCATCTTTGCACAGGTCATGACACTGTGCATACAGATACGCTTGAAATGAAGCCGACGGATGAATTTAGGAATCCCTAAATAACATGAACCGTCGGCCTTAACAGCAGATGACTAATTAATCGACGGTGTTTAACGATCGATGGGATATGGGATCGTTGGATCGAATTATTAAACAAAATTTCGAGTAACAACCGGTCGATTATTCCTCGATAAATTTAATTTTATCCCGAGCTCGAGATAATCGCGTACGTTCGATGATTATTAGAATCAATCTCGCGGGGAAATTTAATAATCGTGGAATCAAGGGGGGAGGGGGGAGGGTGTAGGTGGAATATGCATGCACGAGTTCGAACGGCGAGAAGTTAATTATCCTAGGAACCGAAGGCGAGTTGCACAGGTGTTCAAATATTATTGGAGATGCGATGGGGAGATCTATTTACGCGTGTAAATTAGTTGAAAATTATATTTGTTAATGTTAGGATTTGTTGACGTGGAACGATTGTAAACAGGAAAGTCGTTGTGTATGTTAAAATTGTATAAATGAAATTTAATATTGGGAGGGTAGGATGGGATAGAGAGGTACACCGGGGGATCAGGATTCAGTGCATTGAAGAATTTATTTGGATACGTGTATCCAAGCATTTTAATGTTCTATAAAGAAATGTAATTTCATATGGAAAAAAAAAAAAGAAAAAAAGATTGGAAAAACGATAATTATATTTCAAGAAATTAAAAGTAAAATAATATTTCTATAGGTAATAATCTTTCTTTAAATTTTTGAGAAACGAAATTAATTTTTTTTTTTTTTATACAGGAATTGTTGGAAAATTGAATGAGATAATATTCTGATAACGCGATTATATTTCTGATATATAGATATATTTTTGAAACAATATTATCGAGAAAGTGGATGGAACATTAATTTTTATATTTGCATGCAAAAATTGGGGCATCGATAATTTATCTCCACGAGAAGGCAGATTTTGTCGATATAAAGTGTGGAATTACATTATGGAATGGCATTTACATTTGTTCGATCAACGATCATCGTCGAAACGTTTGTTCGTAATGGGATCGACGTAATTTGAGCAAAGTGGAAAGTTTAATTTTCCAAAGATTCGCGCCAATTGAAGGAATAGCGGAATCCTTCCATATTACGCGTAATAAAAAACATTTCATTTGCACAGAAAATAATCTCGGCTCCTCTTTCCACGAGGATAAATTCTTATAGAATTTTAAAACTTTCAAAATATTATCTTCTTTTTTTTTTTCAAATCTGCTCAAAAGAAATACGAAAGGAAAACATGTCGAGCTCGTCCAAACTACTACATCAAACTTTACGCGATTCATCGATTTCACATCAGCAAAGAAAATAATCTTATTCCCGATTTTACCTTGAATCTGTGGAAAAGAGCCACTTAGGGAGTATCATCGGCTCAATAAGTTATCCGGGATTAAAGGAGTCACCTCGAATAAGTCCATCCCTTATCGAATAATCGAGAGAGCGTAAGTCGCGTCGCAATCAGTCTTTAACGTGCTTTTCGATAAGCTTTTCGTGGATCGACAGCGAGATTTCCAGTTTCTCCTCGAAATCTAAGCAGCGTGTTTCTAACGCGATTAAATCCTCGTTACACCCACGCTCGAGAATTTACAATCGTTTGATACAAATCGTGGTTGAAGCGTAGATTATGTTTGCTCGGATCAATGTATCGTGATAATTGATGCAACTTATTTTATTCGAGAGTCAGAACTTGGAAAGTATTTTAAATTGAGAAAGAAGATTTTTTTAATAAGAAACGTATTGCATTGATTATCTTATAGTAGATAATGCAATAAACATATCATGTAAATTTTAAAAATAGAAAGATTAAAAAATATATATACTCAAGATTCAGAAAAGTATATATCAGTATAATACTATAATTAATATTAATAGAGATGTAATTAGAATTGTTTCGAATCACTTGGAAACTTTCAAAGTTTGAGAGCGAACGATGAACTTTCCTCCCATAATTTAAATTGTACAAGTTCTACAATTAATACAGATACAAAATATATCCACACAATATTCGAAATTAGAGGAAATAAAAATTCTCTGAATCGCAAATTGAAATTACTCTTCCAATCATATCGACATCGAATACAAAAAAGGAAGTTCTCCGCGAAAGCGATCGATCTAAAAATCCCTTTCCAAGCTTTCACAAATCAGGAACGTCTCCGTATTCCTTCGAGAAATAGAAATTTTGACAAATACACCGCTTGCACACGCACTCACACACATGTATACGTGTATGAAATCTATAAGATAGAGGAAACGGGGTCGATGTGACGGCGTGGAGCCGCGGGGTTAACCCTCGGGCGACAGGTGTCGAGGAATCGAGAAATTACGATGGGTAGCGAGTAAAAGCTCGGGGTGTGAATGTCACGTAACCGATGGAGACAAGGGGAAAAAGAGAAACAATGGGAGCTCGAGCGTGAAGATACCACAGAGGGTGTAAGAGAGAGGTGGGGGGAGGGGTAAGAACAGCCAGGAGCAAGCAGGAGAAGACGTACCACTCGCATTAATATTTATTCTATGCGCGCTT